ACCTCTGCAAAAGCAGTGATGTGTGTGTAAATATTATGCAGAAAATTCGGAGTGTGGAAATTAGGAGAAGGTGTGGATTAATAAAAGTATTAGTCAGAGGGCAGAAGAGGGGTTGTTGAGGTGGTTTGGTCATTTAGAGAGAATGGATCAAAGTAGAATGACATGGAAAGCATATAAATCTATAGGGAAGGAAGGCGGGTAGGGGTCGTCCTCGAAAGGTTGGAGAGAGGGGGTAAAGGACGTTTTGTGGGCAAGGGGCTTGGACTTCCAGAAAGCGTGCGTGAGCGTGTTAGATAGGAGTGAATGAGACGAATGGTACTTGGGACCTGACGATCTGTTGGAGTGTGAGCAGGGTAATATTTAGTGAAGGGATTCAGGGAAACCGGTTATTTTCATATAGTCGGACTTGAGTCCTGGAAATGGGAAGTACAATGCCTGCACTTTAAAGGAGGGGTTTGGGATATTGGCAGTTTGGAGGGATATTTGTGTATCTTATATGTGTATGCTTCTAGACTGTTGTATTCTGAGCACCTCTGCAAAAACAGTGATAATGTGCGAGTGTGGTGAAAGTGTTGAATGATGAGAAAGTATTTTCTTTTTGGGGATTTTCTTTCTTTTTTGGGTCACCCTGCCTCGGTGGGAGACGGCCGACTTGTTGAAAAAAAAAAAAAAAAAAAAAGTTCGGGGAAAACCCGGGTTTTATTTTCATATAGTCGGACTTGAGTCCTGGAAATGGGAAGTACAATGCCTGCACTTTAAAGGAGGAGTTTGGGATATTGGCAGTTTGGAGGGATATGTTGTGTATCTTTATATGTATATGCTTCTAAGCTGTTGTATTCTGAGCACCTCTGCAAAAGCAGTGATAATGTGTGAGTGTGAAAGTGTTGAATGATGATGAAAGTATTTTCTTTTTGGGGATTTTCTTTCTTTTTTTGGGTCACCCTGCCTCGGTGGGAGACGACCGACTTGTTGAGAAAAAAAAAATACGTTTGGACCATTTAACCCTTTCAGGGTCCAAGGCCCAAATCTGGAGTCACGCACCAGTGTCCAAGAATTTTCAAAAATAAAAATTTGTTATTTTTTCTTATGAAATCGTAGAGAATCTTTTTGTGAAGGTAATAAAACAAAAAGTACGAAATTTGGTGGAAAATTGACGAAATTATGCTCTCGCGAATTTTGATGTGTCAGCGATATTTACGAATCGGCGATTTTGCCGACTTTGACTCCCATTTTGGGCCAATTACATTATCCAGTCAACCAAATTCTTAGCTATTTCACTAGTATTACTTCTATTCTATCGATTGAGCACAAGAAATCGCCAAGTCAACTGTTTTCAACTACAAAATAAGTGATGGGAAATTTTTAAATTTGGCCATTTTAACACAAAGTTCAAAATATTCCAATTTCAAAATAGGGTCCAGAATGAACAATGTAAGCTTTCCCTGGCACTAAACTAACATTTCCTCTGTTCATTAGTTATGTTTTTGAGGCTTTACAAAAAAAATTCCATTTTGATTTTTTATTCACAAATGAATTTTATTCACACAAAAAAATAGAAGATTTACTTTTATGCAATACTGTAATAATTGTATAAATATCATCACCATATTTGTGAATGTATATTAGACCCACCAGCTGATGTGTATTAGACGTGTGAGGCCCGTTGTTTACTCTTAATATCGGCAAAAATTTAACATTTCTGCTACTTTGAGCTCAGTTTCAAGCCATTTCCATTGCTAAAACCAATCAAAATCATCTCTATTTCTGTAATATTTTTCCATTCTATCAAATGAGACCAAGAAATCGGAAATACATCTATAAAAAACATACGAAAAAACACTGCAAAGTTGCTGTTTTAATCGAAAAATCATGATTTCATTTTTTTTCTCTCATTATACACAGTGTGCTGCAGGATCTGTTTTATGTGGTGCACACATACCACATAGATGTATTCTCTCATATTTAGGCCCAAATGTACCACTCACAGTTTATCAGAGTGAGCTGAGCTCATGGCGTAGATCTACGGTTTGGACCCTGAACATAAAGCCGTAGATCTACGGGACGGACCCTGAAAGGGTTAAGGGTTAAAAACTGTAGTGTAAAGCACCCTTCTGGCAAGACAGTGATGGAGTGAATGATGGTGAAAGTTTTTCTTTTTCGGGCCACCCTGCCTTGGTGGGAATCGGCCAGTGTGCTAATAAATAAAATAAATAATAATAAAAGTTCTTTATGTGAATAAAAAATCAAAATGGAATTCAGCTGTAAAGCCTGGAAACATAACTAATAAACAGAGGAAATGTTATTTTAGTGCCAGGAATGCCGGCATTGTTTATTTTGGATCCTATTTTGAAATTGAAATATTTTGAACTTTGTGTGAAATTAGCCAAATTACCAATTTCCGATCACTTTATTGAGTAGTTGAAATAGTTGACTGGGTGATTACTTGTGCTGAAAAGATAAAATGGAACATATACAAGTGAAAAAGCTAAGAATCTGATTTAATGGAACAATGTATTTGGCTGGAAATAGGACTCAAAGTGGGCAAAATCGCCGATGTGTAAATATCGCTGGCAGAGCAAAATTTGTGAGAACGTAATTTTGTCAATTCTTAATCAAATTTTGTACTGTTTGTTTTACTACCTTCAGAAAAATATTCTCTACCATTTCTTAAGAAAAAATAATCATTTTTTTTTTTTAATTCTTGGACCCTGTGGGGAATTTTCAGATTGGAGCTGGACCCTAAAAGGGTTAATGAGGCAATAACAGTGCAGTAAATTAGTACATATGGTCATTAGGTGTGTTTACAATTAATAAAGAGAATTGAATATTGTATTAGTTCATGCTATATGGCTTTAATAGGCTGGGTAGAGACTACAGATTTATACATTCTCCAAGTCATCTTATTTCGTTCCATCCTCTCTAAATGTCCAAACCACCTCAAAAACTCTTCTTCAGCCCTCTGAATAATACTTTTAGTAACCCCACATCTCCTAATCTCCAAGCTGTGAAGTCTATGCATAATATTCACACCACACATTGCCCTCAACATCTCCAATGCCCTCAGTCTCCTCATTGTTGCACCATTCACCACCTATGCTTCACACACATATATTTCATTGGTACCACTATACACTCTGCTTCCATGGATAATGTTCTTTGTCTCCACACACTCCTCAATGCATCACTCAACTTTTTAACCTCATCAATTCTATGGTTAGCCTCATCTTTCAGAGACCATCTACTGATAAATTCACTCCCAAAAATCTGAACGCACTCACTTCCTTCAAACTCGAATCAGATATCAATCTTTCATTATCTAAATTTTCCATTATTTTCATGGCCTTTCTCTTTCCTACATTCACTTTTAATTTCCTTCTTTTACATACCCTCCCAGATTAATCCACTAACCTTTGCAACTTCTCTTCAGAATCTTCCAAAAGGAGTGTGTCATCAGCAAAGAGCAACTGTGACAACTCCCACTTTGCATTAGACATTATATATAACACTTCTGTACTTAAGGCTGCAAGTGTGAACATTTTTTTCAGCGCTCTCAAGAAAAATTCGAAAATTTATGAAAATGAGTTATTCATATAGAAAAATAGCTTAACTCTTTGGCAACACAATGGTACAAGAATCAATGTTCTACAACGTTTCTACAAGAAATTATAGTCATTTATATCAGGTATGGTGGCGGCGATGTAGGTAGCGTGTCTGTTCTCAACCTATGTATTTTTTGGAATTTTTTCCTTGTTTTTTATTGCTTTTTCTTTGCATTATTCTTTCTAATATAATAATTGATTTATTTGGCATCATATAAGAGTAGTTGGAGCTTATCAATAGACGTCTAGCCTATCGGGAAGCACCTAGGTACACTCGGCAGTGATCCCTCTCCAGAGAGTGCCAGGTGAAATCACTTCATTATTACGCTTATATCAGCTTATATATTAACTATACGGCTTATTTATCTATCAGAATTGATCTAATATGATATAATAATCACTGTAAAAAAACAAACAAACATGTTATATACTCTAGACTGAATAAAATAGGCCATAATATAGCGAGAGTCCACCAGCAATATTTCGATATAAAAAAGTTACTCCTCGTCTCCATGTTGTATTGTTTGGTCTGTGAGTGAGAGAAAACGATGTTTTGAAGAGGATAACTGCACTAGAACATCAGTTTACTAAGAAATACACCGAAACAAACGCGATTTTCGCGAAAAAAGAAAATTTTTTTTTTGACGGTAGGCCTACCGGCGTTCTAGGCCTATATCTCGGAAGTAACTTATTCACTTATTTCGCGGACCTCAACCATTATTAATGATTTTATTGAAATGATTTTCACAGACAATATAAAACAAAGTGTGTTTTAAATTGTAACGATGGATTTTTTGGAATATCTCAAATATTTTTGATTTTGTGGGGGGTAAAAGGCAGATATTTTGGTGAATGCCAAAAAATTTTCTGTCAAATGTATTTTTTTTTTACCATGATAATAAGATATATTAGATGAAATGGCAACGTAAAAGATTCGTGCTAGTTGTATTCTAACAGTTGGGAATGTCGGAAGTGCCACTCGTAGTGCCAATTTGTCAGGGGATGCTGCCATATATCAAAATTATGTTAATATTTTTTTCTATGTTGTTTGTTGGCCAATCATACTGAAACTTTGTCACATTAAACTATATATGCACCTCTAAAAGTACACCAAAAATAAAATAAATCGGTTGAAAACAAAAAAAAAAAAATATAATCCCATTCTCCCCCCTTAAGTGAATTAACAATCACAGACTTCTTACTTTAGTCATCTAAATGACAAATTATTTACTTTAGAAAAGTATAAATATAGAATATATTAGCCCTGTAATGACTTTTGCCTGGGAATATACCAAAAAGTACTGATGCTGACAATGACTAACTTCTATATAGTACATATACTGTTCTAAGTAGAAACAGCATAATTACAGTATGTGAGCTTGCATGAAGAGATAGTCTCACCTATCATCCATACTGGTCATGTAGTAACCATGAAGAATCTTATCCTTGATCCATGTCACAGCATGGCGAGTGGCTGATGGAACATCTGGGCTATTGAGATGTTTTTTGTAGATCATTGCTAACCCACACATGGCTTCTTTGCGAATTTTGAACTGTGAACAAACAACAGTAACTTAAACAAAAACTTGCACTGGGGAGAGAAAAAAAAATATCAGAAGGAAGCAATATTTTAAATTACACTAGCTCTTCAATCCTGCAGCACGTTATGTGATGACTTGCAACAGATAATGTTGAAAACTTATCAGAATTCATGGCACTGTGGCAGCTCAAGTCAGAAAAGACACAAAAGAACTAAGCCAGAATATTCTCTGGACAGTTCAAACACCACTGAGCCAAGACACTGCAAAAACACCTCTAATATTTGTTGATTTATCTAATTAATACAGTATATTTAGCACTCAAACAACTGTATGGGTGAAGAAAATGTAGAAAGAGTAGACAACAACAAAAAAAAAAGTTTTTTTTTAACCCGTACACGGTCCAAACGTATATATATATATACGTTTTTACCGCTAGTGCCCCAAACGTATATATACGTTTTATTTTTCCTGCCTTCAAATTTGGCACAACTGGCCTGAGATGCCTTGTCAGCATAGAATGGGTTCTAACACTCAGTGTGCACAGCATTAAAAAAAACTGGGAACCACTTAGTACCTTGTGGGAGCACCAGTTCAAATGAGTGCCAGCTAGAGCAAACAGGGCAGCAAACACCTGGGATTCACTGATGTCATGTAGTATTAACACTCCCATTTTAAGAGGAAAGTGATTTTGACCCTGAGTTTAGTGGCTTTGAGGTGGATGTGGCCACAAGTGGTCGAGGAAATATAAAAAAACCTCGATAATAACCCATGTGCAATATTTGTACAACACACTTTCAGAATGTCTTATAACCTATGCCCTAAGTAAAGAGAAACAATTCTGGCTGGCTGGCTGACTGGCTGGCTGGCCAGCTGTGTGGCTGGTCGGCTGCTGGCGACCTGGCTCTAACTCCATTTGTCTGTCTGTATCTATGTCTATCTCTGTCTGTCTCTGTCTATTTTTATCTGTCTCTGTCTATCTCTTTCTATCTGTCTGTCTATCTCTGTCTCACAGGTACACATAAATACAAGTATACATAGTGTAAATTACCTAGGATAACCCAAAAAATCCAGACAAAGTCCAATACTTTGCTTGAAGATGTGAGTAAACGTGATGCCGACGCAGTCTATCCGTGTAGCTCTCTGAGACAGAGAGCTACACGGATAGACAAATAGACAGGGAGCTTGACAGACAGACATACAGACAGACATGTTTGTGTACCAGCGAAAACAAAGCAGGCCCTAATCTTTTCTTATCACCATCTCCTCGTCGTCGTCCTCCTCCTCCTCCTCCTCGTCCTCCTCCTCCTCTTCCTCGTCCTCCTCCTCCTCGTCCTCCTCCTCCTCCTCCTCCTCCTCGTCCTCGTCCTCCTCCTCCTCCTCGTCATCCTCCTCGTCCTCCTCCTCCCACCACTGAAGTCTCACTCGCCATTAAATCATTAAAGAACAAATCAGGTGATCTAGATAACTTGCCGCCATTCATATATAAAAAAGCTGCACCAGAACTGTCGCCCATTATTGCAACAATGTTTAACAAATCTATAGCATCCTCACCCTTCCCATCTATGCTCAAGACAGCAAGGGTCACCCCAATCCACAAAGGTGGAGATCCAACTGATTTGAACAATTACTGACATATATCAAACTTGCCCTTACTCTCCAAGATATTTGAAAAAATAATACAGAAGTAACTTTACTCCTACCTTACATCCAACAACATACTTAACCCATGCCAGTTTGGGTTTAGAACCAAAAAAAAGTACAAATGATGCTATTATACAAATGCTCTTGATAAAAATGAATATCCTTTGGGGCTCTTTATCGACCTAAGAAAAGCGTTTGACACAGTTGACCACAATCTCTTGCACCTCAAACTGAATCATTACAGCATAAGAGGACGCTCTCCTGACTACCTAAAATAATATAGTAACGACAGACACCAGTACGTACATGCAAATGGAGTCAACTCCGCTATCCAACCTGTAGCTGTAGAGTACCCCAGGGTAGTGTCCTAGGCCCACTCCTCTTTCTCAACTACATCAATGATCTCCCCAATGCTTCCCATCTCCTTAAACCAGATCTATTCGCAAATGACACTACATATGTCTGCTCCCATTCAGACCCAGCTGTGCTTGGAAACACTGTAAACAATGAACTGCTAAAGATATATGCTTGGATGATGACCAACAAACTCACTCTCAACACAGATAAAACATAATTCATGCTATTTGGCAACAGAGCCTCAAATATTCAACTCAACATACTGTTAAATGGTTCCCCTATATCAAGACACACGGAGGGCAAATTTCTAGGTCTTCTCCTTGACTGTAATCTTAAATTTCAGTCCCATACCCATCACATAGCCAAGAAAATTTCCAAATCAGTAGGAATCCTTTCCAGAGATACAATACTATGTAAAACAAACGACTCTCCTTACCCTGTACCACTCTCTATTATATCCTTACCTCACCTATGGTATTTGTGCCTGGAGCTCAACCACTGCCAACCACCTTAGACCCATAATAATCCAACAAAAAGCTGTGCTGGTGATAACCAGCTCCTGAGCTAGACAGCACACCCCGCCACTTTTCAAAAGACTCAACTTGCTAAATATACAAGACATACACTCCTATTATTGTGCCTACTACATATACAGAACTCCAATGTAAACTCTCCCCTAAAACTACTCCTCGACAGTTACAACAGAATGCAGAGTCACAATACAAGGCATAAGGCACTTTTCAACATCCCTCGAGTCAGACTCTCACTATGCAATAACGCTATGCACATAAAAGGCCCGAAGATCTGGAGCTCGCTACCGGAACAGGTCAAGGATCCCCAGACACCTTATAAATTTAGGACTTTGCTAAAAAAATCATCTTATCTCACAATATTAACCAAATCAACCAAACATCTGCAAACTAGATTTATCATGTGACCTCTAGGCTCTTAATTCTGCCAATCCATAAAATCATTTTGTTTCTCAATATTAACCAAACCTGCCTAAACATCTGCTAATTAGTCTTATCATGTGACCTGGCTTGTATTCTGCCATTCCATAAAATATTACCACCTGCACCATTACTTATAAGTTAGATTTTGTACTAAGTTTACATAAGATTTATTAAGTTCAAATAAAATTGTAAAACAGCTAACCAATATTCCATGTTCAGTTTTAAGTATAATTACTATGTACTATTATCTTATCTAGTTTTAATTAGTTACTATGTATTAGGATTAGTTTGCCCAAAATGCCTCGGCATGATAGTGGCCATCTTTGTACTTAGAAAATCAAAATTGTAATTACACATTGTAACCTTTACAAAGAAATAACCTTTATTTATTTATTTATTTATTTATTTACTTAACCTCATCCTTCATAAACCCATCCACTGACAAGTCAACTCCCAAATATCTGAAAATATTCACTTCTTCCATATTCCTTCTCTCCAATGTGATATCCATTTTTTCTTTATCTAAATCATTTGATGCCCTCATCACCTTACTCTTATCTATGTTCAGCTTCAACTTTCTACGTTTACACACCCTCCCAAACTCGTCCACTAACCTTTGCAAATTTTCTTTAAAATCTCTCAAAACGACAGCATCATCAGCAAAAAGTAACTGTGTCAACTCCCATTTTCTATTTGATTCCTCATAATTTAAACCCACCCCTCTCCCCAACACCCTAGCACTTACTTCTTTTACACCCCCATCTATAAATATGTTAAATAACAATAGTGACAAGAAAGAAAGAGATGACTGTGGATGTTATGAATGAGAAGAAGCTGGATGTCCTGGCTTTAAGTGAAACCAAGCTGAAGGGGGTGGGAGTTTGAGTGGGGAGAAATAAATGGGATTAAGTCAACAGGTTGGATAATATTATGTCAGGTAATGGAAACAAGCCCATTATCTGTCTTAGTGCTGGTGGAAATGATATCGAGAAGGGTAGGAGACAAGAGCTGCTGAATAAGTACAAGTCAGCCATAGATGTAATTAGGTCTAAGGGAGGGGTCCCAATCATATGTAGCATCTTGTCTAGAAGGGTAGTAGGCAATGAATGGATGTCTAGGGCAATTGGTGTAAATTGCTGGCTAGACATGTACTGCAAGGAATTTGCAATCCCATTCACTGATAACTGGGACAAATTTTATGGCAAACGTGACATGTATACAAGGGATGGGGTACATCTCTCAGGGGCCAGAGTGATTGCATTTGCCAACTCAACTGAGATGGCCATTGCTGACTTGTCTAGGACTTTAGCCCTTAAACTGTCCACATGTAGATCTACATTCACATCTGGGGGGCTTCGAACATAGATCAACACTTAAATTTTCATTCCTTCAAAATTGGTGCGATAAGCCTGAGTCGCCTAGACATGAGAGAATAGATCTGAGCACTTAGTGTGAGCAGTATGAAAAAAATCGGGGACCACTTAGTACCTTGTGGGAGCACCAGTTCAACTGAGCACCAGCTAGAGCATGACAAACACCAGGAATTCACTAATGTCATGTTGTATTAACACTCCCCTTTTAAGAGGAAAATAAAAATAGGTTGGATAAATACATGAGTGGGTGTGGGTGGGTATGAGTTGGACCTGACTAGCTTGTGCTACTAGGTCAGATGCCATGCTCCTTCCTTCAGTGGATGTGACCTGACTAGGTGGGTCATTGGTCTTACCCAGGGGGTGACGTGTATCTGCCTTGCATGGGCCAGTAGGCCTGCTGCAGTGTTCCTTCTTTCTTATGTTTTTATGTATTCGGCAGGCTGGCCAGCTAGCTGGCTGGCTTTGGCTGTCTCTGTATCTGTCTGTCTATATCTCTGTCTATCTGGCTATATATCTGTCTATCTGTCAATATCTGTCTCACATGTACACAGAAGTGCAGTTATTACACATAGTGTAAATAACCTAGGATAACCCAAAAATTCCAGGCAAAGTGCTATACAGTGTTTGTAGATATAAGACATAATAAACATGACGCAAGTAACAGCAGTGTCACTTGCTCAGCAATCAG